CAGCGGATCCTAGCGCCGTTTCACGAGGTAGGAGGTGCGGGGTGAGCGCTCTGAGGGGCAAAGTCCGGGGACGTTGCTGCCCTGTAACCTTGACCTTGCCAGAGAGGAGATGCCCCACACACACCCGGTGTCGCAATCCAAGGACAAACCTCCTAAAAATTCCCTTTTTTTTTTTTTCCCCCTTTAGCTTTTTTTCCCCCCTTTTTTTTTCCCCCCGCTCGCAGGTCACCACGACATCGCGGCCAAAGGGGAAGGGAAGGAGGGAGGGCGGCATGCCGACGACGGCAGAAACCTCGCCTGAAATCTGATCGACCGCGGCGGGGAGGGAGTTTTATTTTCAAAAAGCGGGAGAGGGAAGGAGGAAAAAAAAAACAAAAAAACTCTCCGGGATTTCCAGATCCTTATTTTTTAATTTTTTTTTCCCCTCCCTACCCTTAGGGTTAAACTTCGATCAGATTCAGACCAGGTTGGCTGCCTCCACGCGAGAAGATCCATGCAGGCGGAGGAGAAACCTCAACGTTCATCTTCTCTGGCCGAGGATCGCACCCTACGGAGGTGACGGAGGGGGGAAAAAAAAAAATCTCAAAAAAAAAAAATATAAATATGAGGTTCTACCTCACGATCCGGACCCCAACGTCCGGTAGCGCCGGTAAAATCTACCGGGGCGGGGGAAAAGGGATGCGAAGTCCACGCGTGGTGGAGACCGTTCCGCCATCCCTCCGAGGAGGAATCGTTAAGGCCGATGGTCAAGAAATTCATCTCTTGATGCGGCCAAGTCTTGATTAATTAATCGCCCTGCGTCTCCGGCCTTCCTTTCGGGGGGGGAAGGTTTGCCGAGAACGTTTATGGCGAGGCGGCTCTTGGCATTACCTGGAATCCTCAGATTTTCCTCCACCCCTTTTCAGTCTGGTTTTGCACCTGGGAATGATACGGAGACCGTGCTGGGATGGATCCGAAGATCTCCTCCTGCCGCTGGCCAGGCGCCCGTGCCGATTCATTTAGATCTGCCGGCAGCCTTTGATACCGTTGATCATGAGGAGATGTGGACGTGCCTGCGGACCCTGGCAGGGGTAGACGGAGTTGCGCTTGAGTGGTTCCGGTTTGTAGTTTGTGTTTTTTTTTTTTTTTTTTAATTTTTTGGGGGGGTTTTATTTATTTTTGCATTTTTGGTTGGTTTTTTTTTTTTTTTAAAAAATGATTTTTCATTTCGCCGAGAGATCCCGGAGGTTTGCCCCGAGGGCGCTCTCTCGTTCCGCTGTGGGGTACCGCAGGGTTTTTATCTCACCCTCCTGTTCAACGTGTATGAGAGGCCGGTTTAAGGAGAGAGACGGTCGTCCTACGCCGCCAAACTCTCAGCTCAAAGTCTCTCTTTTCACTGGACCCAGAAAGTTGGAGTCGCAGTTTTGGGGGTTTTTTTGGGGATTTCTTTTTTTTTTAGGTTGATTTTTATTTTTTTGGCTAGATTTTAGCAGAGACCGGGCGTGATCAGAGCTAGCTCAGTCCGGGTTTTAAGACTAAAAATAAAACCATGACGCCGGTGGGACGGGGAGGGAGAAAAAAAAAAAAAAAAACAAAAAACAACCCACCCAAAAAAATAAAACCATCTGCTCCCCCGTGGGGGGGGTGTGTGTGTGGGCATCTGCCTGCCCTCGTCTGCCGGGTTTTGCAAACGAGGGTTTCTCCTGCTGGATCCTGGTCTGTTCCCGGATTCCCGGGAAACAAGAAAGTAGCCAAAAGCGCTTCTTTTCATCTTCGCCTGGCGGAGGAGGTTGCGACCTTTCCTCTCTCTGTCTCTCGCGGATGAGGACCTCGCCCGTTAAACCCACGCCGGACCCGCGGATACCGCGTGGAGCCGATAACCCCCCAACGCTCCGAAGTCTGCGCTCGCCTTCCGGGCTTCGTTCTGTAATTCCGAACGCTGGTTTGGGCTTAAAGCGAACCCTACCCTGACCTCTCCTCCTGCTCCGTCTCGGCTCTGACGATCGGTTCGGGATGGGGCTAACGAGGGGGTTTCACCCCACCTCGGGGTTGCTCGGGAGTTTGGTTGAGTTGCCGGGAACGCCGCAGAACCCGGCTCTTTGGGGTAAAAATAAAATAAAATCCCTCGGTGCGGGATTAGCGGGTGAGCCAGGAGCCATCCACGTGGGACTCAATCCCGGCAGGACTCAAGCGATGATTTCCCGACCCGCGCACTTGTTTCCCTGCGCTTTTTTTGGGGGGGGAAACGACAGTAGGTAGAGCCTGCGAGTTAAATAACAAACAAAAAAACACCAAAAACCAACAACCAACCACGAGAAGTGGTAAACCGCCTACGGAGGAAGAAAACCAGACCCAAGATTTCAAGATAAAGAGGCAGCAGAGCGGAACCTACGCTTCTCCCCATCGTACGCAGCGAGGCGTCCCGTCGCCGACACGCGGCGAGACGCGGCTCCGTGCTGCTCCGGGAACTCGGCAGGAGTTGCCGACTCTCTCGTTCGCTCACCTTGAGGTATTTTTCCAGCATCTTTACGATGTGTTTGTTATTCAGGACGCTCTTGGCGACGTGTAAGCTGGTTTTCTTGAATTGTTCCGCAGCCATCTGAAAAGGAAACGAACGTCGGGGTCAGTTCAAAACTTTGCGACGCTCAAAGCCACTCTCCGGCCTTCAGACATCGAGTCCATCTCATTTATCAATTCCCCAAGCGCCCTCAAAGGCGATTTTGAATTTTAATTTCTAGAAAGCACCGAAAATTTAGAAAGAGGAAGCGTTTCAGCCTGAAAAAGCAGCTTGGCTCGACCTGAGACAGTACGAGGAGGTTTTTAGAGGCAGCAAATAAACCCCCTGAGCGCCCAGACATGTCCCCAAGCCCGAGCGGAGTTGCTTACCCTGCGGTTTCTGTTGTGATCGGCGGATCGCAGGTGCCTCTGGAGAAGGTGGTTCTGCGCCGGAATTAACATGTCGCACGCCATGCAGTGAGCCGCCTCGATCTTCTTGAAGAAGTGTTCCTGGCCGATACCTACAGCGACGAAGGGAAAAAAAAAAAAAAAAGAAACGAGACGTTCGGCTCGTTAAGGTCCCGGGTACCTTTCACGGTCAACGCGCTAATTTGGCGCCTAAATTCCTTCCCCTTTCTGCTTTCAGAGACACAAAAAACCAATCCCAGACATCGCTCTAAGACGGAGGAGTTATTCTGCTCTAAAACACGTCGTACCGATGCTGTAACCAAGTGCAGGAGGAAGAGAGATGGGGATAACAGCCCAATAATTGACTGGTTTTACCCCAAACCAACCTGCCTCTCAAAAAAAAAAATAAAAAAATTGATTTAATCAAGGTGGAAAGGGACAACTCGTGTTTCCCCCAGCTCTGGGTTCGTTCCTCCTCCCTATTTAGGCTCAGGTTTTCTGCCTGCAAGATTTTATAGCCGACGTGAGGCTTAACTAAACCTCAGTCCCAACGCGGCCGAGCGTTGCGGACTGTAGCGGGGACAGGCACGTCGACGAAACTAAGGCAGATTTTCTCCCCCGTTGTCACAACAGATCAACTTCACCGATTAAACGTTAAAATCGAGCGCGGGATCCAGCTGCATTAACTGAACAGCCGCAAAAAAAAAAAAAAAAAAAAAAAAAAATCAATAATTCCTGGGAGTTTTTCCCCTGTTTACCTAGTTTTAGTACCTCTGATGTTGCACAAGCCTCACGGCGAGGACGGGCATTCCCCCTTCCCCGCCAAAACGATTTATTTCACAAACTTGGCAAAAAACCCGTCCGCCCAGAACCCGATTCGGCACAAATTCAAAGCACGAAGCCCCTTTGGGAGCGATATTTCTTTTCCGATACTGAGGGAGCACGTGAGAATGGATGCTTACCCTTAAAAGGATCCGGCTTCTGTTTTGTGCCCTCTTTCTCCGTCAGCTCCTGGCGTCGCTTCTCGATTTTCTTATTCCTATTGACGATGTATTCCTAGAAGGGAAGAGGAGAGAACTCGCTGTTCTCCGAAAATACCGAGCGGTTCGAAAGGGAAACGAGCTCTCCAGAGAAAACCCACAGGGAAGCCAGCGGTCGGTGAATTAATTAGACAAGGAGAGTGTCTTCCCCTCCCCGTTCCATCATTTCTAGCAGAGCAAGAGCTGGAAAGATCCGAAAATCGGAGCCAAATAGAAGCTTGTCCCCACTTCACCATCAGATTCCTTGTGGGAACCCCCAAATTCCTGAAAAATGCCCCCAAAACGCAAACTCTGGACATCCAGAGAATTAAATGCCTCAGTTCTTAGTTCTCCTTCCTCAGCTCTGGATGTGGAGACGGCAAAGAATCTTTGGAATATCAATATCTGGCTTTTCTGTTCAAATTTATACAATTCCTTTTTCCTCCCAACACGAAAACCCGCGAGACACCGCATCATTCCAACTGATGTCATCGGGCGACGCAAGCCAACCAAGCAGGGAGCCGTGCGCGGATGAATTTACAGTCCATTACTCTCCTCGTTAAGCCCCGAAATGCCAAATTAAGCCCCGAAACGTCAGCGTGGACGCAGAAAAGGGTCAAGGTAACGCCGAGCGACCCGCCTACCTGCAGAAACTCGACCGTTTTATCCGGGAGTTTGGTGCCAATGTATCGCAAAGTCTCTTTGTGAAACTTGCTCTGGAGGTGTTTCTGGATCTCCTCTTCCTCAAAACTGCGGAACTTGCAGACGGAACAGGCAAACTGGATTCTAAACGGAACGAACGAGGAACGAGCTCAGCTTAACGAGAACATCAAGAGGATGAGACCGTTGCCGCCCCTCGTTGTCATTTTCGCTCCCCAAGCGCCACCCCACGCAATTTTATTTTGCCTTTATAATCGTTGCAGAACCTGCACGGATTAAACAGCATCTGCTTCTCCGTTAAATTTTACGCTACGGGTTTGGATGTTAAAATCCCGCGGGAGTTTAAAAGCAAGCGAATAAATTCACAGGGCGGGAGGTGAATATGAAACGAAGATCCTCTCCTCGAAATACGGAAACGCTGGTGTCGTCATCGCTGTCAGTCTGTCTTTAGATCGTTTATTGTATTTATTTAATAGCTAAGCATGTAACTACTTAAATCACCCTTCTGAACTTCTAATTCTATGCTGACCTAGGTATTAAACACCACAGTATTGTCAAAAGAATCATAAAACACACAAAAAGGGAAAAAAAAAAAACCCTGCTGAAACCAGAACGCGGAGCCCCAAAACACAACGCCCCAACAGATTTATCCCACGTTTGCGCAGAGGAATATCCTGGGTCCGTATTATTCACCCGGGAACGGAACGACTCGGCGCTTCCCTCACCTGTCCATGGCACGGTCGCGCATCCTATCTCTTCTCCGCTGCTTCTCCCTCTTCTTCTTCACCTCTTCATCCTCATCTTCGCACCCATCTCCAGACGCTGGGGAGAGGGGGGAAAAAAAAAAAAAGATAAATAACTCGGAATGAGCGTGGTCACAATCACTCGCTCCGCTGGCTGAGGTATTTTTGGGTTTCTCTTGGTTTCTTCTTTACTCTCAGCTTCGGGAAATCACAACTTTTGGTCTCTGGAAGCTTTCCCAAGCCAGCTTCCGACCGCAGGGAAGCGGCAGCCTCTTTCCGCGGGGTCCAGCAGTTGTGAAAACCAAACCCCCCCCT